GTATATATATATGTATATTTACAGTATATATATATAAATTAAGAAAGAGACTCTTATTGTGAAATGGTGCCAACAAATTAATCAGTCTGCAGTGTTATCAGTGGAACATGTGTGGTAGACATAATGCAATCAACATGCTTCAGTGTAATTTGTGAATTCACWCTGAAACAGTTTCAGAATGAGATTGGGGGCGTCAGTAGCAGAAAAGTCCTTAAGCAGCCATAAAATCTGGATCCTCATTAGGCGCACACAGGTTTTGTTTACTTGATGGGTCAGGAATTCTTCCTGTACTTCTTGTTCTTGTGGTGTAACTATTCTCATCCAGCTAATTGCAGACCCCAGTGTGAGCGCCTGCTCTCGCACCATCAGCAGCACGGCGCAGACCCCGCCGACTCGGGACCTCCTCCTCCAGCCCCTGCCATCCTGGATGCCTCCCATCGGTTTTCACCCTCCCAATGCCAGAAGCGAGATCTCTGTCTCAATTAATCTGTGGGTTTCTAATGGAATGCTTCCCTCCAGGATGGGGCCCGTCACAGAGAGGGGCTGCAGTCAGAAGCTGCTCTGATTGCCTGAATACACTCGCAGCTTTTGGAGTCACTGCAGATGTCTGCTAATTGTGGTGATTATGGGGAGCGGAGGGGGGTAGGAATATGTAATGAATTTCCCATTGCTTTCATGCCTTGCATCCTTTCCTTCTGCGCATCTGCTCAGAAAGCGGAGAGCATCCGCAGGGTTTGGACAAAAGTGATACGGTGGATTGGGCACTGGCTCTTGGATGGGCAGCCCCCCGAACACCAAGAGCAGCCAAACTGGGCCCATTTATTCTTTCAGCTCTGTTCSCTGCTGACACAATGTAACGTTTATTTCCTGCTCTCTGTGCTCTCATCCTCCACTTCCTTTCTCCTTTTCTCTCTGAAGATGACTTGAAAAACCCTGTTTCAGCGGCTATAAATCTGTCTGTTTTTGACTCTTAAAGCAATTAAAGAAACCAATGAGGAGGTGAGGATGTGGGACTGTGATCCAGAACAATGACAAGTTTTTATGTGAAATATGTGGAAACAGCTAAAGCAGAGTTATAAGCTGATGAAACAGCATTATCAAATA